TTTTTGTTAGTCAAAGTTTAAATTTCTCTGCGGTCAATATCGGATAGCTCAGACGCTAAAAAGTGTACGGTGTTATAGTCTGATGTCTTCTGAGTATGTACCTACTTTAGATCTTTAGGCGTCTATTTCTCTTAAGCCATCCGATAGATATTAATATTTCTATACCGGTCACATTTTCCACGCGAAATTTACTTCAAACCTTTTTTTGCGGAGAAAATGTCTGGCAAAAGGCTGCGAAATTTGTTAACATTTTTGTTTTGTTTTGTTTTGTTCCTTGATGGAACTGTTGCAAACCGTGACAATAACATGAAAACAAAAATGCGACCGGTGAAAAATAATAATTTAAATCCGTCTATCGATTGAGAAAATATTCAGGGTATTAAATGGGCAATGGAGACAATTCACAGTAAATTTGCAACATTTTGCAATTTATTTATCTAAATGACTTTGGCAATGTGCGTTCGTTTCCAGGAATCTATCTATAAAAGGTCTATGACAACGGTAAGCACTAAAAACAATGTAAATAGCAGAAAATCAACTGATTGTTCACATTTCATCACCCATTTTCCTGCTGAATGGACAGCATTCATGCTTCGTGATCTCTGCCGATTAGATCATTGCATTTGATGATTAGTAATCAGGTGCGAAATTCCTGAGCCACTGTTAGCACACAATGGGTTAGGTGAGGAGTGGACTGTAAGATGTGTAACTGATTAGTGAGATTGCGTCCTAATTGACTGGCTTGAGCTCTTCAAGGCACTAATTTGGAATGGTTTAGGTTTCAACTGCAAAAGTGTTAAAATGTGGGTATTCTAGACGTTGGTTGATTGATTTTGCAGTCAACTTTCCAATGCCTGGATGCTGGAATCTTTTCAGTAAATATGAATAATTCCTCCAAGAAAGTTGAGTGTTTTATATTAGTTAACTGTTTTTGAACTAATATTTTCGCCAAGAACCATTCAATTCTGTTGTAAATGTTGGTGAGGCCGATTTTGTGCCGCTACGGCGATTCTTGTAAAATTAGTCGGGCATTTGCGTATGAAATGTCGACGGCTGTAGCGGCAGTTTCGGCTGGTTGCCCACCTCGCTCCCGAATTCTCCATTCTCTTCTCGTGTTGTTATTTTCTGTCCCTGGAATATGCAAAATCCAGAAATATGGATGTAAATGCGCATATGGACGCATACGGGCACCGACGCCGGAGGGCCCTTTTTTATTTATACCAAGCTAATTTGGGTCCGAATTGCCGACAGGTTTTCCGAGCAAAACAACCTGGTAAAGTAGCCGCTTTTCATGTAACAACGAACATTGCGTTGTCGAAGATCTGGACAAAATTGGTGGGATCTCAAGCTTAGAAAATTTAGAGGCACAAGAACTGGAGCTCTTGGGAACATCAACCCAATTTGTGTAAGCGATTAGCGAAGGAATCGGAAAATTGGTTTAGCTCGTTTTTTACCTAAGGGCAATAGCAACTGGTGTAGACTTAGGACTTTTTCGAGGACAAATCCCGGTCTGTTACACTAACATTTCTTTACAAATTGCTTGTTGGGTATTTCGCCTCAAAATTTTAAATAATAACAAAAAAAATTAAAACCGTGAAATTTCGGGACTTCCCAAGAACCCTAAATTTGAATATATAACTATCAAAAGAAAAAGCAAAGAATTTTCTTAGACAGACTAGAGTTGATTCCCCTGCATACGCAGATAGTAAATATATGAACCTTATGAACTTGTGCTGTTCAATAGTAAATGGTAATTGTTGAAAACAGTTTTGTTGAAACAGTGAAAAAAAATATGTGATAATTTGCAAAAAATAAATATTTCCAGCAAATATTTTATAGACTTGTAAGGGACAAGTCTATAAAATATTTGCTCTTCTGTTCAATTATTCTGATTCTTAATTAATTTTAGATTTCTGATATTCGTCTCTTATATTTCTTAGAATCTGTTTGTTCAAGCCTTTTGTTTTTTTAAGAGGTTACAGTTTTTATAAATCCATATAGTGTTTTTATAGGAAAGTCGTTGTTTATACAGGGTGTCCCGAAATTGTTGGTCAACAGAGCTAAAAATAAAACCAGTACTTTATAATTTGTTTCTTAACTGGCTCCCAATGGAATTATTGGTTATTATGTTTGATCAAATAAATTTAAAAACAAATAAATAAACCCAACAAGCAGTTTGCAAAAAAATGAATCCGCCTCAACAATATAGAACTTATCTACAATATAGGAATTGTTTTTGGACTGCAAATGCCGGTAGTACGCACAACTTGATGGGTAAAGTTTGGAAGCTTCTCAAAAATTAGTGAATGGATGGATTTGTGTTAAATTTTCAGTGTCTGTAGCTACTTTAGTCTGCTTCACTCTGTATTAATCGCTACTGGCTCTTGTCTTTAGAGACGCAATAACGATTTTTTTCTTCAAGCGCAACTATCAGTTTACGAAACTGAATTTGGTGGGTCACGATTGGAAGCTTCTTGAAAATTTCCGAATCAAATAATTTGATTGACATTTTTGGACTTTTTAGCTTTAACTTTAGTCCGTTCCCCTGTGTATCAGCTGCAACTCCTTATAGTTTGGGTTAGTTTCGAAGCTTCTCAAGAATTCGTGAATGGATGGATTGGGGTGAAATTTATGAATGGGCTTGTAGCCACTTTAGTCCGCTTCACTCTGTATTAGTCGGAACTGGTCTTTGTCATAAAAAGTACAAATTGTACAAGTGTCTCGTTTGAGTTTGAAGTTGCTTCGGAGGTAAATTCCAGTTTTCTACACTTAACTTACCAGTTAATGCTTGGAGGCTTCGTAAAAATTAGTGAGTTCGTTGCTACTTGAACATCTTAAACCTCTTGCGAATTAGCATCAAATAAAACATTGCTTATTTCACCCACAAAACATATTTCGAGAGTCTGTTCGACCAGTTTAGATAAATCTGAGCTCACGGTGGGTTTGTTTTGGGGAGCGCGAGCAAAAAACAAAGAAAATAGATATAGATGTTCGTATCCGTTAAATCTCCGAGGCTTTAGTCGAAAAACCTGCGCTACTAAAACTTAAAAGAAACAGTCCCCATAGGCTGGAAAGACTACAATTTTACGATTTGGCCGGTAAAAGTTTCCGAGCACGTCCTTTGCCAGGCATTATCGTAAAAAAGTCGGGCTGGGCTGACTGGAAATATTCTTCTCCGGCCACACAAATATAGAGGTTAGCGTTATGGTTTTTGTCTGGTTTTCTATGGGAAAAATCACGTAAACGCCATGGGGTATAACTGCGGCCGGTTTTTACGCTGTTCGTCCAGCCCCCGGATCGGATCCCCACGGCAATTATTGTCTTAGTTTAGCTTAATCAGGTCTTAATATTTATGCAAGTTTCACCGGATCTGGGCTTGCAATGGTTAGTAGCATAAGCAATTAATTAACTACGTTTCCTGCATTCGGTCGCCTACTTCTATATTACTAGATCAGTTGCATTTGCCCACCCAAAAGTTGATCTCACATCTTATGCAACAACGTCCCTAAACCGAACCCAATTTCATATTCCGCCCATGTATGGCAAACATTCTTAAGTGCCGCCTTAATATAATAATTAAAACATGTACATTAGAACACTGAGGCTTAATTGCCGCTGTTTGCGTATTAATTTTGCGCATAATTGAAACAGTCCTGCATAATTCGGGGTCATCAGACTTACGTTTCCCTGCTCGAATGCCTAATGCCGTTGCATTCTAATCAAGGTGAAATTAATTGAATGCGAAGATAATTTTGTTGCTCGCCTGCCGTCTTTTTCACTGGAATCTTGATTAGGCAACAAGAGGTGAAAATCACAATTTCTACTCAGGCGTTTTTTTTCTGTTTTTCTTTCGTGAAATTTGGATTTTTTTTTCTTTGCAAAGCGATAATCAGAAATGCATTAGAATCCAAGTGCTCCTTCCAGAATTCATCATTCTGTCATTTTGACACGCAAATCGGGCCTTGATTGAGTACGGCGGCAATTTTAACAGCAGATATTTGTGAGAGAGTTTAGAATTGAGGGTCTGAGACCATGAAACTTTGTGGAGAAAATGTCGATTTGTTGAAAATAGTGAACATAGGAACATATAGGAGCTTAAAGTGAAGTCTAGTTATAATGCCAGTTAAATTAGGAATCTAGTGACTTTCTTCCTCTGATTGAAATTGTCCTGAAAATTCCGATTTTGCATTGTTCTTTTATAAACTGATTGGCGGTTGTGATTGCAGCGCTTCAAAAAGGGTAAAGCCCCAATTTCCGACCCATTTTTTACACCAAAAATTAATTCCTTAAATACTCTCTGGAAAGATGAGACTGTTAAATTTTCTTGCAAAAAGGTCATTTGGATTGTTTGGATATTTGCAACCGATTCGAAGATATGACGTGTTCAAACTGTTCAGCACCTTAAAAGGGGTGAAGGCCTATTGCAAACTTTTTGTTCCCCGAAAGACAGCAAAAATGCTGGTGAAATGATCCTTATGAGTTATGGGAGATTTTCGACTCTTTGAAAGGGGCAAACTATCTACATTTTTTTGTCTTAAAAATTATTTCGTTAAATGTTTTTTCGAAAGGGTCATTAGGATATTCTGAACAGTTTCAAAGTTAGTTAGAGTTATGATGATTTCAAACATTTTTTTCAACAAGTTTTGTTACACCAAAAGTAAGTCCGCAAATTGTCTTTCCAAAAAGGTCATTTGAATTTATTGGATATTTTGAACCTGTTCGAAGATATCACGGTTTTAAGCTCTCCAACAATTGAAAGGGGCGAAATCCCTAATTTGTCCCTAATTTTTTTATCGTAAAACTTAGACCGTTAACTCTTTTCAAAAAGGTTCCTATCATAGTTGCAATTTTTAAACAAGTTTTTACTCCAAAGCGATCTGAAAAAATGGAAAATTTTGAGGGTTTGTCTGGAGCCATAGTCTGCTCTTATCGCTTAGAATTTAGTTAGGAAAGTTACATCTTAAAAAATTGGCTTAAAAACCTCGATTTTTTTCCGGTCATCACTCATGCACACCTTTAACTAAAATTCAGATAGCTGTAGGACACATTTTCTTTTAAACACCCAGTAAATTCGCTGGCGAGTTGCGGAAAATGTAAATATTACTTTCGTTTACATTTTAGATGCTAAAACAATCAAGCGTTATGATGAAATTCGATCTGAACTTAAGAGGTTTTTAAAAATTAACACATTCTCTGTCGTAGAGCATCAAATTTTCTTTGATTTAATATCCAAAAATATTCTTGTCGAGTAAGTTATCGACTACTGAAAAATAATCTGAAGAAATTGAGTAGCAGCGGCAAGTTTTTTAAAACCCATCGTCTGTAACTCAACTGCTTCCATAGAGGAAAAGGTAAAATCGCATTCAAACAGATTATGGTGCCTCGAAATCCTTCTCTAGGCCCCTCCAGACACCAATCCGACGACTAATAATTGCAAAGCACTCTTAAATCGACTCTGACAAATGTCCCCTCACCAATCCACTGCTTAGATTCCACATCGAAATCGAGTTTTTCTTGCGTTTCGTTCGCTTTTTCTTCTACTGCTTGATCAAATGTGAGCTTTAATGGATTTAAGGCTGACGGACGAAGCGATTGTTAAATGCAAATCGACGTTGATCGTATGGAGAGGAGGAGAAGGCACGTGTCCGGGATGTTGCTGCTAAATTATTGGGGGCTTATTGGCAAATTCCCTTTTTTTATCATCATCAGTTTTGTGCCGAATCGAATTGTTTGACAATTGCGTTCGGAAAAGTCGCGAAACAGTTTAAACTGCAATAACTCCCCAGATGTCCACCTTATGGAAACTTGAAAACGATGTTCAACTGAGCGAAAGTTATGAAAAGTCTGGATAAATTCGGTGAGTTGATCATACAAAGAGGTCGTTCCAAATTGACCAAAAAGGAACACACCCAAGGAATCGGGGAAGCTGGCTGGTGCATTAAAAGCCGTATTCCTGCGAGAACTGTGCCGTAATATTTAGAGTGTATAGAGCCTCTATGTCAGAAAGTTTTGGGGCTGAAGCCGGAGGGTTGCAGGAGTCGGGATTAGAAAAGCGGTTTAGCTCGGGTGTATGTGGAACAAAATTGCGGATGTTGTTAAGGGAGCAGCGCAATTCCTCAAAAGCCAAATTTACAGTATTTTCGTTTTTCTTTTCTTCTTTGTTGTTTTGTTACTCAAACTGCCTAAATTTACACACTCCAAAGCCGCCGGGTAATACATTGTTTAATCTTTCTAGTTGCAGCGTGCTTTTACCAGGAAATGCGTTCACTTACTGCGCTATAAATTGTTTGTTTGGCTCGGAGAACCAGTCGGCAATGTGTGTATTTTTTTCGGCAACTTATTAGCTGTGAAAGACGCAATTAAAACATAATTTCTCATTAACTCGTTAGCGCCGCTGCTGTTTACTCTTGTTATGCTCTCAACACCAGTGGGCAGGTATGCATTTATTAACTCAGGCTGGGAAAGGATATTTTTTCTGGCCAAAAAATAAAGAAAGCTTTACAAAATGATGTTCCGCTTTTGAATCAATGTGGAAATGATTCCTGCACATTGAAACAAAATTATTCATTTCGCGTCGCCAATGGAGAACTTATAAATAGTTTCTGTTTTCCAAGCTTTTCATTTTCAACTCCATCGTGTGAATGTTATTTTTCGTGTAATTTCTTCTTCAATTGATTTCCTTTGCAATTTTTTCAGTGGTGTTGTTCTGGATGTACTCGATTAAGGGTACATTTTGCCGCATCATCAGAATCGCGCTCCGTCAGTGTTAAACTTCTTCCGATACTCTCTCTTTTGATTCTTCTTATAACAATGTTCTCGTGCAACATTAAAGGAATCGCATTTTTTTTATTCAACTTCATGATGGGCAACAACTCAACGTTTCCGTTGCGTAGTAGATTTCATAATGTTTTTGTTTAAAGAATCCACAGATTAGTTTATAAAATAATCTCATTCTTGTCCTGATGGTGACTCCACGTGACTGCTGTGTTATAAAGGAAAATACAGTGTTTCAAAATTGGGTTGCTATGCTAAAATAGATGAACAGAATACCTCCATCTCTTGAAATTTGATGTCAAGTTAACTGATTTGATGCGAACAAAAATCATGGTGGATGAGCTGCAAAGTTGTCGATTTTCCTTTCACTTAATTCATTCGGATTTCCATGAATTATCCCGTAAAGAAATCTACAATTTTTGTGTTTTTTTCAGGAGCAATACAGCTTGATCGAGCCAGAACGCTGCCTAATCGATAGACGGGGCTGATCTTAATTTTCAAAAGAGGGCCAAACACCGGGAAGGTAAGTAATTTGAAAAACTCCTTCATTCACCATGGTTTAAACACTCCTCTTATTAAGTGATATTTCCATTATTTTATTTGCGTTTTAAAAATATGCGACCCATATTTGTTTTAACGAGTATTGGAGTAAGCGAGGTTCTGCATGTAAGAGATGATGATTCTAGTCTACAAAATACGCAGCCAAGTAACAAGTTTGTTAAAGATTCTTGGGCAAAAAAAACCAAATTGGCAGACACCTGAATGTCTAAGAAAAGAAGGATGTTGAAGATTTGTAACGAGCCAAAAACGAATCATCAGAAAAAATATATCGGAACCATAATCAGTCGATGAAGCACAGCTGCAGTATAAACAACTCGCAGAAAATTGCAATTTTCTGTTGATCTGGTAAAGGACTGGAATATTTCGTTAGGGCTAAAACTATGCCGCGAAAAAACATTATATCATTTAAATGGATTAATCACTTTGACTTTAAGCCAGTTATTGTTTTGTCGTAACAAACAAATAGACCATGTTAATCGAAGGAAGTTTAGATTACACTTTGTACAATTTAGTACTTTGCAACCAGGATTTCTAAAGCTGGTCCTAAAGCTTAAAAATTGCTAAAGAAATTAGCATTTTTTAAGCGAAAGATTGGCGGTGTTTCAAAAATTAAAACTCCCCAAGTTCCTTTACATTTTTAATCACTTTAAACGAATTGAACGTATCTGAAACACGCAGGTGATTAACGTCTAATCAATAAAAAGGCAGTAGAGGTATTATGGAAAAAATAACAATATATTACATTACTATTATTATAATTATTATTTTACATTATTGCTTTTGAATGATATAGCATCGAATAAGATCGATACTGAGAACAAGTTCAAGTTGTAACTGGGATATGTTGCGTTCAGACATTAATTCTACTTTATTATATAGGGGTTTAACACAAGTATAATAATACTGAGAAAGAGACAAAAATAATTTACTTAAACTGTTAAAAATCTATAGCTGTGGCATTGACTAGGTTTGTGGGAAAATGACGGATCCGACGAAATGAATCCGTAATTTTATAACAAACGAGGAAAATTGAGCCCGACTACACTTACTGTTCTGAGTACAATATTAAACGAGATTGAAAAAAGAATAATGTAACTGAAAGGTCGGCTCAATATGAGCTAGTTATACTTAAATTCCTACGTATTACTGAAGCGTTTTCTACTAAAAAAAAATATAATCTTAAGAACCATCAACCGCAAGTTTCCTGGTGATAAGGAAATCACAAGGGAAACCACGGCGGGTCATGTTTTTCGAATTTCCAGTTATTTACATTTAGACTAAAGCTAGTATGTCAGAGTAAGCGGTTTCTCTAATAATAAAAACCTAAGATCAGTCTCATTTTAAAAACTATTCTTCCTAAGAAAAAGAACTATGATTGCGGACAATTAATCAAATACAAAAAAAACCCCCCTAATTTAATAGTTAGACCCAAGTAGCTTTCAATACTGTTCACGATCGTCACGAAACGAAATGGTCGGCTTTTTATACGCAAAAAACCACCATTTTATTTCGATCGCACGATGAGGCAATTTCCAATGGCAAAGAAACTGTCCTCCATCCCAGATCTAGTAGACGTAGATTTGCTTCAGCTGCGGCTTCAGCTCAGCCGGAATGGTGTAAACATCCGTTGGTGATTTCTTCTTCACCAAACGCCTCCATTTTCCACCCAGATTTTTTCGAAAACCTCTCACGAAACCCGGCCTGTCGGTGTTTTGTACAATGTTTTTCTGAAACAAAATTAGACAATTTAGTAAAAGTGATCCTGAGTTGAACTGCTAGTTTTATAAGGTGCTTGTTGTAAAATTCCCAGGCATTTCTCGTTAATATCAATTCCAAGAGTCGTTACCCCATGTGTCAGTGGCTTCGCTATTCTATCCCGAGAAGAAATAACAGAAAAACGATGGTTTGCAAGGTCACATTATGTGGCAAAGCAGCCATTTGCTGAGCCTTTTTGTTCAGCCAGGTCAACGGCACATTTATATGATCGAACAGAGGCGTGCAAATGAGGCTTGTGAGAGATCGTTCGCTATGATCAATGCCAATCAACTAGTTCTTTCAAGCGCTCCTACTATGCATCACAGATAGATGGATGTTGTGGCTGAAGAAAAAGTGCGGCGATTGAACAACTGAAACCAGTCCAAGCTGATGTTCGGACGAGAAGCCAAACGGCCGCCTATGTTTAGGCAGGTTATTGATCCTGCGAAGCCAAAGAGGGTCTTGTTGCATCCACCACCCCGAAATAGGGTCGTTAATGATATTCTGTTTTGATCATCTCATGGCTCCATCACATTCTAGCTCGCACACCAAAGCCTCGTTTTGTCGCCTTTTCGGTTGTTACCAAAGTATGGAAACTCTCTAGCCTACTTTCTCTCTTATATATAGGTGCCTTTTTATTAATAACATAAAGAGAAATTTTTTGCTTACAATCGTCGTTGCAAAACCTCACCGTGAAAGGCCGTTCCAAATACACGTTTTTAGAGGTCTTTGCTGGTAGAAATCCGTCGATTCGCGGCTACGATAAATAATTAAACCGGAAGTGCGCCCAATGTTTTCGTTGAAGACCTGAGGTTACATGCCAAGAGCGTTTTACCGGAAATTGGTGATGTTTCCGGAAATAAATCGTCCCATTTGAATAATGGTGTTTGCGGTAGTAACTGATTTAATGCGTTTTTCTGCGTCGGGACATTTCACCGTTTGCCATGAACGTTTTGTACAGTTGTTACTGAATTTGCAACCTTGGCCACGGCTTTTCATCTTAACAGTGCCAGTAATTGTCTCAGAGTTTACCTCTAGAGCTCTATTGTGTAGTCCGATGCATTCGTAACTTGCACAAAGTTTCAAATTTGCAATTTCAATCATGTTTGAAAGTAGCAGTTCTCTGATAAATCACCCTGTATGTAATCGCAGAAAACGCGGCCTGAAGACGAGTATAGGCCAAGTGACGAAACGACTGATCATGTTCTTCGGTTCCCAAACACAAAGGATGTAACAAGTTATTTCTGATGTTTGCCTGACCTCGTTGGGTATTCATATAGGTTTAGCATCAAGGCATTTGGTATGTTGTAACGGTTATTTCCTTGAAACCCTGACGGTACCGTATGTATGTATGTGTGGGATTCGAACACCACTGGTTGGTCGCATGCAATCAATGGCGTCTGGTTTTGGTTGGTTACAAAAATTCAGCCAGTGGAAGACGCCAGCATAATGAGAAAGTATCCACGATGCGAACAGGAAACATATGTCACACTTGGGAGCTTTCTATGGTTATTTTTAGGTCAATTTTCCCGTACCAGAATGATAATCAGCGCGTATTTCTGGCCTGGTGCTGATAAGGCAGTTGTAGTAAGAACGAGTACACACCAAAGCCGATAAAACTGATGTATTTGAACAACTCTTCACATTTGATGTAACGCGCTACAATTGCGAAAACAATTAGGAATTTTTGAAACCGTCCTGAATTTCGGGATTTATGGATTTTTTTGGAACCAGAGCAACCAACTAGATTAGCAACAAAATGCAACGGCTGTCGTCAATTTGGGTCAACAACAACCGATTGACTGACTCATTTGCCAATCTGAAAGTTCGATATTACGTAAATCGAATAGATAAGTGTGGTAACGACATTTTCACAACAGCTTCAATTCGAAAATAGCACCGAAAAGTGCTAAAATTAGCAATTCGGCGGCTCGCACCGATCCAAAGAAATAAACTTATTTTATTTTTAACACCGTTTAACTTATGAAGAACATGCTCGTTTCTCAATGTCGATACAGTTATTATTGTTCGAAATGAATTATTCGTTTTACGTCCTTTAGTTAGATTACACACCTTTGCGCGGAATTACGTAAAAATAAAAACAGCACTAACCGAACCACGCAATGCGATTAATCAGTTAATAACCAATGGATGTTGCTGAGTTTTTAAGGAAGCAAATTATTCACCTCTTGATTAATGCGCAGCGTGTTTATCGTCGTCCAATGTCTGGCCTTGTTTTTTCACAAAATTGCATTCAAATTGTATACAAATCATTCGAATTAAAATTCTACACTTTTGTTACTTGGCTTCAACTTTTATAACAAAAAAATAGGTTTAAAAAACTTGATGTAATCCGTATCGAGCAAAACCGACTTAAGTTTTTAAAAACGTAAAAATCCTTCCGCAAACATTGAGACACTTTTGTGATCGTTAAATTCGAACTTTCGAGTTTGTCGGGTTTAATTCTACATCTACACTTTTGTTACTTGGCTTCAACTTTAACAACAAAAAAATAGGTTTAAAAAACTTGATGTAATCCGTATCGAGCAAAACCGACTTAAGTTTTTAAAAACGTAAAAATCCTTCCGCAAACATTGACGCAAACTTTCGTGATCATTAAATTCGAACTTTCGAGTTTGTCGGGTTTTACCGCCGTCCTCCGTTTCTCCCAGATGTTGCAAACTGAAGATGCAAGCTAGTGGTGCTTGCGAAACGTCAGGAAGAAATTATATTCTACCACGGCCGAGAAGTCCAAAAACTCTCCAGTAAAGCTCTTACAAGCTTGAAGTGCAAAATGACAGCAAAACCGACTGATTCCCACAAGTGTCAAAAAGCTGTCAAGCTTCATGTCATTGTCAGTCAGACTGACAACAAATGTCACAGTGAGATTTAGACAACGTTATTCGCAACTCGAACTAAATACGAGTGCAGACCATTAGAAGTCGCGTTTGAGGTCATGAACTATCGAAATCTCCATAAAAGAAAAAATAACTGTGAAAAACTTTGACTGCAATAATGACAACTTTCTGTCGTTACGCAAAGTGAATTATTCTTTCTCAATAGCGCCGCGCGAAATGAGTGGGTGCCCAAGAAAAAACCCCCCAAATGCAACCTCCCCCTTTCGGTTCTATTGGTCGATTGGTTAGCAAATGATCACCAACCTGTTCGCTATTGTACAACATCCGGTCGGCAGGCTGTGGGGGGAAAGCCCACAGAAACTGCCCTCGGTACGCCAATGGATCGTTCGGTTCGGCACGTTGGGGTTGGGTGGCTGCTACGGGGGTGGTTCCATTCGTAGTTACAGTTGTGGGCACCGCAGTGGTCTGTAATACTACGGTTGTCGTAGCATCAGGTACGGGGTGAACAGAGTTTGAATGTTCTTCGCGCTTGCGAAGTTTGCTGCAACAAAACGGACATGTTCAGTCCACCTGTTTCTCAATGGTTGCATGGCACCGCTCCCGAGTTTGTAAATGCCCAAATTAAATCCTACTCAGTTAATTCAAATTTGGAGTTTTTCATAAATGTTGGTAACCAGAAATCTTGATCAGCTTTCTACTTGATCTGATTCGTTCAACTTCACGCGTTAACAGGCTAGTAATCAGTAATTAAATGTGGTCCTTCGATCTTCAGAAGTTTTCCACATTATACAAACATGTGTTTGGCTCAAAACGATTGCTTTATCCGCACAGAATAAATAGAAATTGGACGACAATGCTCTGGGTTTGCTGTGGCTCTCCAGTGGCGTACTAACAAGCTAATGCCTGTTAAAAAATCGATGTTTCAAAGTCCGCATTATGGTGATTGACAAGGCGCCCTCTGATCATCTAAAGCGCTTCAGGGAGGATCTTTATGGTGGACAAATATACAAAGTACAAGCGCATTTTACAGGGAGTATTAGTATGTTGTGCAGCATTTTATTCAGGGAATCACGCTTTTGTTCACTTGCTCCACCTATCATTTTTCTAAACTGTTGCGCTTGGTTGGTTTTGATTGAAGTTTAGAGTGTTTAAATCGCCAAATGGTACTAACCTACGGACCAGTCTAATGGCAATCATTGTACCATTCGAACCCACCATCTTAGTGTCCGTGGGGTTCTTCGAGAATCCAAAGATAGCTATTTTGAAGCTGTTTTTCGTACGGGTTGCAGGAAGAAATGTATAACAGGAGATTCTGTGGTCGAAAAGCACTTGAGGATTTCTTTGTTGCACAATTCACTTAGGATGAGCGGGCAAATATCACAGTCCACTTTAGTGCTAGTTGCAGTTGCTCGATAGGAGATCACACGAATCAGTCAGACGATGCGATTAACTTAGTTAATAGGAGATAGTTTAGTTTAGTTTAGACTTAGTTTACTAGTAGAGAGTCTTTGGTAACTTCGGTACACGAATTCGCGCACACAAAAGAGAAAAATGACTAGAATCGATTTCGCGGTTTGAAACCAGAACGGTGTCGTGGTGGCTAAAAACCGTCGAAATTTTGCCGAAACACAGCTAAACAGTTCGCTATGCGACAACTTTCAGCCATACTCTGTACAACTGAGCGATCAGATACAGAATATCGGTTGGCCGCTCGGTATGCGCGCTATTATATACGGTTGGTCTGTGACGTCGATTGCTCGTATAGTCAATCCCCATACTATGAGAAGTAGTAGAACGGCAAGGGGATCAGGGGAACCGAGGAGGAGAGCGGTAAAGGCAAGCGCCTGGTCTATGGGTTGGGTATGGGAGTGTTGCCCGTTCACAAGATTGCCAACTTTTCAGGTGGAATTTGCAAAAATCCGGCTCTTTTGAAATCAAATAACACGAATTTCCATTTTAAACCTTTTCCCGTCATTAACCAGTCAAAAAAGTCCTTTTCGTACCAGAACTTATTTGTCCTTTTCTGTTTTGTGAAATCCTACTAATCATGTTTCAAGCGGTGTAATTCATAAATTCTTTAGTCTCGTAGGTAGTGACTTCCAGAGCTCTTTATAAGGTCGTTTTTATTAACCCCATTTGCCAGCAATTTCGAAATTGTGAAACAACGAAAGGAAAACATGTTTGTTTTTCATTGCCTTCTGGCCAATTCCCGGGAATAGAAGCTGCGATTTTAACAATCTCTAATTTGGTCTGTTTTCGTGGCCAGTTGATTGCTTTTCAGAAACTGTTTTCGAAAATGTCCAAACAGGCCAGTGCAAATAATTTTTTTGAAAAAAAATTATAACAGAGAAAGAAAAAATAAAATTTAAACACGAAAACACCGGAAATAAACACTCGGTTTAACAAAAATAAACCACCAAGTCACATAGACCACTTAAAGTAGACATTACAACGATTAAAATGACCACTTTCGAAATACAAAAAAAGATCAAGACAATTGTTCGTGGAAAATAAGGGTAGTTTTTTCGAAAAATGTACATAACTCGAAAATTAGTTGCCCCCTGAACTACGAAAAACTCATGCTTATTCAGCACCAAAAAAGAGATACAAATTTTCATGTAAATCAAATCATTTATGCGCGAGCAAAAAATTAAATACTGAAAAATGGCTTTTTTGCCATTTCCATGGTTAACTTGAAGTTATGCCAAAACGTACCTAAATGCAAACTGTTTTTTATTTTTGTATTATCCACCACCATCATGTCATTGAACATTTTCCACCAGATGGTAATGTTTCGCCGCAACTCGCAAAACCCATTTTCACCCCCTAAACTGCATCCCCATTTCAATGTTTTCGCGTTTAAATTGCCGTTTCATTTTCCTTGCTTGTTAATATTTTTTTTTACCAGATGAAAATTCGTATCGGCACTAGCCTAAAAGCTCAAAAGAAGGGTTTTCGATCACAATTGGTTTGCCTTGTGGCCGGCATCAGTTTTGAGGAGCTAAAAAGGACCGGGATGACCATTTAAAATCTTCTGGACTATTGTGATGTCATTTCAGTCCACAAAAGTATACCCCTAGCAAATAAAAACCCTGTGAAGTGCCCAATCGTACAACATGGCATTAGAGTTAATGAAAATGAATCAAAAAACCGTTGCCTGGGTAAAAACAGAACGCGGTTGGCCGACAATCTGTCGGCGATACGAGGAAAACCCATTGTGATAAAACGCCAGTAGTCGGGTTTAGAAGAAACGACGGGTTAAACCGACCGAAAAATTGTTGGAAAACAAGAAAAAAAACATGTTGATTGCTTATGATTTCCTTCGAGCCAGTTCCCGGGATTAGAAGCTGTTACCTGCGACTTTAACGATCGCCGATGTCTTGTCCGTTTTCAATGGTCAGTTGATTGCTTGACAGAAACCTTTTTCGAAAATACCCAAAGCTCCTAGAAAGGTTTTCGGTTATCAAGGCTTTGTTCACGGTTCGGAAGGGCAGCAACATGAACTACTGAAGATGTAAATAATAACCCTGACCTAAATTTCGCATCTTTAATGCAATGTGAATCTAACGAGAAATTGAAAAAAAGACGAAGTTTTTGCAGTTACCTTGGCGTTTCTAACCTGCGGAGCCTTTGCCCCAAAAAAGGAGATTCCTCACTAAATACCATCGAGTCTTTATGGCGTTTTATTTGACATTGTTCGAATAGGTGCATACCAGGAGGTTGAGCCAAAAATACTAATACTTCTAGTAGATTGTTATTTTGCGGAATAAAATTCTTCTTCTAAAAAGCCAAACTCATCCTGACGAGATTTTTTGCTGCTTTCGTAAAACACCTAAACTAGATATTAATAGATGAGTATAAACAGAAAACACGCCTATACTGAAGAATCATCAACATCCCATACATAAGCCATCAATCTGCAAAACTGAAAACATGCACTCAGCAAACAATATATTTACGTCAAAACCGAGCTTCTGTTTATGATTTTTGTTAATTTTACCAAGTAATTACGAACGCATTAGCCCAACCTAAACGATCCGAAATTCTTTTTGGGTATTACATGAGAGTGCATCGATACCCATTGGGAATTTGTCGGCAAAATGAAAAACAATGACGATTAGCTGTTACCTAAATGTACTAATAGCATATTGAATTGATTACTAAATAATGCGTTGTTAAGTGACAGGCAATCGGGTTTTCCTAAATATAACTGAGTTAAAAAGTGTCCAGTTCCATTATCTTGGAAGATTTGGCGGCCAAGTGTCGCAATTGGAGCCACCCAAACAAAAAAGTCGCTTAACGGCAAGCGAAAATAGATTTTGGCACGTTCACCGACCAGACTTGGTACGCTTTTATTTTTCCAAAAAAGTTGCATAAGTTCACTTTCTTTATCCATTACGTAGGTTTTCGTGTCGCATTTTCATGTTGAGCTGAGTTCAGTTTCGAATGTCGCTTATTTTCTAGTCCTTCACGGTAAAGCTTGCTTAGAGGAAACTTACATCAATGCTTCGATCAATTGAATGTCGTAAAGACTGATCTTTTCCAGTTTTCTTCGCATCACTTTTCTGAACCTTCTTTCTGATCGAACGTATGAATCCATGACACCAAAACACTCTCGCTCTGCACCCCAAACTGAGCAACCGAAAGCCAGTTTAGTTTAGTTAAGGCAATCTACTTCTACGTCATTAGGAAGGTATCAAGTAAGCGACGTCTTTTTTACGGTTAATTAATTTATTGGCTTATTGACGATTTCAATTTAATTCGCTAAGTACATTTTTGGCAAGATACACATAGGAAAACGGCTAATCCATAGCTATTATTTCAAAGTTGACTCGTTAATTCTCGATTATTTACTGCATTTCCAACGGCTTAAAACACGTTAAATCAACATGGGGGGCCTACATGGGATCCACGTATTTAATGCAATGCAAAAAAAGTTATTGGAATATTCCAAACAGTCAGTCTCAGAGGTGACGAAAATCCACATTTTTCTGTTTTCCAAGCATTTCCAAACTTTACAAGATTAGTTAGATAATTTTATATTTTTCAAATCGATTGTTCAAGTTAAGCTAGCACATTAATATGTGTTAATATATAAGATGGTTGAGCTTTAATCGATCAGAATCCATACAGGATTGTACTTGCTTAAACCAGAGATCAAGTTAAGAGTTTTTTGCGGCCTGTGCTGAAAACTGAAGCGTTTTCGGGCTTTCAGACCGTCCTGGAAAATAATGTCTTCCTTACGTTTTACTCGAGTGACTGAAAAAAAAACAATGACAAAACTCATCAGTTCACTGTTTTGACTGTTATTACTTTGTGGAAGCATAATTTTTTTAAAGAAAAAGTGTTTTATTGGAAAATTAAGCAGTGCTGCCAATTAGTGAAGTTTTCCAAAACCACATTAATAATTTCCGGTTGAATCAGCAGATTTATTCACTTTGGATGGTCTAGACGTGGTTACTCTGAGTCACTAAGTAAACCATTTTATCTGTTATGTCCATAATAATAACGAATTTTAATATTAAAATTCGTACTCACTAT